TTAACACAGAATCATAGCTCAAAACATATTTCTTTTGAAGCTGCTTTAGAACGTAAAAGAAAATCACCACAAAGTTGTGTTTATCTAAACAAAAATTTAAAAATGATTATTTTGTTATTATATTATTATTATCATTATCATCATCATCATCATCATCATCATTCTCGGCTGCACAAGGTCACTTTCACGCAGTTCTATCGTGAAGTTGGGGCCGATTCTTCACACACACACACACACACACACACACACACACACACACACACACCACTTCCCTCCCACTTCACAGTCTTCCCCTCTCCCTCAGTCTCCTTCCTTCCCCAGAAAGTGAAACTAATTTATATAAACTATTAAGACACACACAAAAGTAACTTGACAGGCAAAATAGAACAGTGTATTTCCCCTCCTCCCTTCAACTCTTTCCTTTGTGTGTTTCTAAATTTGGAAAGGAAAATAAATGAAAACTATATGGATGTTTGCGTGCAGGGGTGTCGGTGCAGCGTATGCATATCTAGTGTCTGTGGAGGCCAGAATCGGGTGTCAGGTCCCCTTGAACTGGAGGAATTATGGGTGGTGGTAAGGCAACATGTGAGTGCTGGGAACTGAACCTGGGTCCTCTGCAAGAGCAACAAGTGCCCTTAGCTGCTGAGCCAGCTCTTTAGTCCCCTTGAGTAAACTTTTAAAAGCTAATCAATCTATTAGCCATAGACATCTACTTAATTAACTACTAACAACTTCAAAACCTCGGTTTATTTGATTTGATATTATGTATTCACTGCCACTATAATTTTAATAGTGGATAAGTTATGGTGTCTATAAATCACAGCTTGGGAGTTATTTTCAACTTTGCTTTCAGTATTTATTGCTTGTCTGGGCTCATCTAATTGAAAGTCTTTGGAGCCCAGTACTTTAGCACAGACATTACAAGTAGATGTGTTGAAAACACTCCCTCTGCTTATTTTTTTTTTAATGTTCAAATGAAATATCAGAAACATGGACTTAAAACAAAGTGGTTTAAAAAGGTAGTCTGGTTGTCAGCATGATTTATAGTGGCAGCTGTCTATATTTTTATACAATCGAGTCTCCATTGCCCTAGAAACAGGTAAATTAACGTGTGGTTTAAGTCCTAACCACAACTCTTACCAGGCCCAATTTCCCAGGCTTGTTCCATTTTGATTTTTTTTCTTCTTGAAGTTTTGTTTGTGGCTATGAGACAGCATTGGCCTTCAGACTCTGGATGAGAAAATGGGCTTGCAAGATGGGGAAAGCCGCTCAGTCGGCAGAGGCTAAGTGAGACCTCTCTCTCTCTTTCTTTCTGTCTCTCTTGTTCTCTTTCTGTCTGTTTCTGTCTCTCTCTCTTTCACACACACACACACACACACACACACACACACACACACACACACACACACACGCCCCACATAGGCAGGGGAGTCAAGAAAGAAAAGAAAAGAAGAAACCGGGCAACAAGCTTACAAGCCGCGCAGCTGCAGGAATCCAGTGGGAGGGAGCCTGGTTCACACTGCGCTGGGTACTTTCCACACTCCGGGGAGGGGGCCTGTTTCTGCAAGCTTCCAAGCCCTACACAGGTCTGGGAACCAGCTCCTCTCTTCCCACCCACAGGGCTCAGAAACCCGTTCTCATGTGGTTTTTGAAGCAGCCAAGGGTAGGACATTTTCCTCTGTGGTGCTTGAAGGGAGAGGAGGGGCGCTTGGTTAAGGAGGCCGTGGATGAGGGATGGAAGCAGGCTTCCCAGAGGAAGTGGCCTTGAAGCTGCTCCTTCGAGGATGCCAAGAGCTGTACTGGTGAGCAAGAGAAGAACAGCTTTGCAGGTCTGCTTGGAAAACAGGAAGTGTCACCAAAACATAGGAGAGGAGGTGACTGAGTGAGCTTAAAAAAACTGTGTGGGCATCCATCATGATATGTGTGAATTCAGTCCGTATCCCGATAGCTATCAAAAAGTAAGTACTGAGCATCAAATACATGTCCAGTAGGGATTCAATATTTCATCTAGTGCATGTAGATTTGACTTTTCAGTAATAAGGTCCCAGAATCCCACCCCACTGTCTTTATGATGGGTCTTCCAATCTAATAAACCACAGGTGTCAGAGGCAGGAACTGTGTCTTCATTACGGGAATGTTATAAAGACCAGAGGGTGGAGATGAGCATGGCATTTGGTTCCAAAGCAAGTCATTGGATCCCATGCTTGAACACTTTAGAGGTTATTAGGTGGCTGTGGATCTGCTGAGGGCCAGTTACTGTTTATGGTGGGTGCTACCTCTGTAGCATCTTCTCACCCTGTCTCTCGTATCTCTGGAAGCCTGCCTTCATGAACAAAGCTTTAGCTGAACTGATAAACACACTCCATTCTCTCGAGAACACATTTCAACAGTAGCACAGAGGGCCACACATCACGTTCTAGTGACCTCACTTTGCATCTTATAAGGATGCTGGAGAAGGCCAGGAGGAAAACTTCCCTTCCATTGTTCTCCACCACATCAAAAATCACTAAGGGAAGCAGTGGATCTCTCCGTCACAGTGTTGTTCTTAGCCAGTCTGCATGTTTAGTTCTCATTGCCACTACTTCTTCATCTGGGAGATGGCTTTCCAAAGCTCTTACTTCTTCATGTGTAAAATAGGGGTAGAAATCGTGATGATCTATCTTGCCAAGGTGATTGGGAGGATGGAGTAAGATAAGATAATAAATCTGACATCCCTGGTACACTAAGTAGTTAATAAATGGTAGGTCCAAGTGGGTGGG